ATTTTTCAAGTTTAAATTGATGTTTCGAAGTGTTTAATTAGAGAATAAAGTTTAGGGGTTATGTTTAGGGATTAGACGACTGAAATTTCAGTCGTCTGCTTTAAATTATTTCCCAGACGACTGAAATTTCAGTCGTCTGCTTTAAATTATTTCCCAGACGACTAAGCTTTAAATTATTTCCCAGACGACTGAAATTTCACTCGTCTGCTTTAAATTATTTCCCAGACGACTGAAATTTCAATCGTCTGAATTAAATTTTTCCCAGACAACTGAAATTTCAGTCGCCTAATTGTACCGAACCGTTAATTTTAACATTTTACGTTTTAACCTAACCGAATTTTTACCGGACATATAAAAGTTATTTTTTTTTCACTTTTTCACAATTTTCCGAAACCCTAGCGCCGTTTCTCTCCAAGGACGATTGTAAAGGCGATTTCGACGAATCTCTCCGATTTCGACAAATCTCTCCGTTTTCGCCGGTAATCTCTCCGATTTCGACGAATCTTGTTTTTCTTTCATGCCTTAGAGTATTTTCGTAGTTTAAACTGACCATCCGCTTCCTTTTTTCAGATTTGAAATCTCGTAGCCCTTTCCTCCGCCGCCGGTATGTTATATCTTATGTTTTAAGGCGTTTAGCCGCCGGGAAACCCTAAAAATTGTAGTCTTGACTCTTCTTTTCCCTTCGATATGCAGATCTGTAACCGCTAGGGACCACATCTTCTCCGACTAAATCTTCTCCGACTGTAAGTCGTCATAGTATTCTTCTCACTTCCTGGAAGCCTTCTACGAAGTCTTACTCTCTGGACGACTTACATGTAAGTCGTCCAGAGAGTAAGACTCTGTAGAAGACTTCCTGGAAGTCGTCTGAGTAGTCTTCTCACTTCTTGGAAGCCTTCTACGAAGTCTTACTCTCTGGACGACTTACATGTAAGTCGTCCAGAGAGTAAGACTCTGTAGAAGACTTCCAGGAAGTCGTCTGAGTAGTTATCTCACTTCCTGGAAGTCGTCTGCTAAGTCTTACTCTCTGGACGACTTACATGTAAGTCGTCCAGAGAGTAAGACTCTGTAGAAGACTTCCAGGAAGTCGTCTGAGTAGTTATCTCACTTCTTGGAAGTCGTCTGCTAGTCTTCTATAGTATTTAGAATAGTGCGCTACCTTTGTGGTTGAGATGGTTGTTTGTGATTGTTTGCAGGCCTTAAAATGGATATATCAGAACTGCCGCCGAGGTTGTTTACATTAGGAGAAGAGCCCCCTGCACTGAGGAGCATTTCGTATCATTCTGATGACAAGAAGTTGTTTGAAGCTCT